AAAATAACTTTTTCTGTTTACTTTGTTCGTACGCCAAGTTATAAGTGTTCAAACTAGGGTGATGATGGTGTACGAATAACATGTGTGCTTACTGTAGGTTTGCGTGTTTGGTTGAGTTAGCAACCCACTAAGCTGCAAACTAAAGGCAAACTATAACACTGGTGAGGCGCTTAGCTTAGCTTATTTTACGAAATTGTGCCTAAACTCGCTAATGATAAGCAATAATCCGAGTAACAATAAATACTACGACGAGGGTCACAAAGGCCCTTATTTGGTATACGTCGAGCTATCAAAACTGTTGGTAAAATTGGGACTTCACGATATAGAGGAGGTCGCGCGGATAGGGCAGGTGCAAGATTGCATGTGGGTCGGCCGACAGTGCAATCAAGGTTGTTGAAAACAGTATGGGTATGCTCCTCGAATTTTGCGACACTTCGTGCAAAAGGCGGGCCTAATTTTTAGGCTTCCTGGTCACCCCTCCACCTCGGGGGAATGGTTACCCACCGACAGGGTCAAACTCTGGTTTAGAGGAGAGCAGCTGTCCAAGGAAATCAAGTTCCCATACGCCAAGGTATTAGTGAAAACGTTCGTTCAGTTTAGCCAATGCTTGCAACTGCAAGGGTAACCACTCGGCTACGCACCCGCAATGAGAGGCTAGAGGAAAAGCGTATGCAACTCAAAAAAGCATGACGCTGGAAAACCTATCACGGGCTGAGGTAAAGGCTAGGTATCCGACACTCTTTGGTAGATTTTCACCGAACTTTGAGGACCCAGGGGAGTTTCCCCGACCCACTTGGCAAAATGGCACCCTCACCGAACACCAGAACAACAACACAGAGGCAGCTAGGGAAATTCATTAAAGGGCATTAAAAAGGTGTTCGAGCTTGCGGAGTCCCTAGACTACCCTTCGGTCGTGGGAGGAGATTTCAGCGCCAAGTCTTCCATCTGGGGAAATCAAGGAAACTTTTCCAGTGACCGCAAGGGACGCAGCATCGAGAATGCTACCCGTCAGGCGGGTTTTATCAGCCTTAACGACGGCTCTCCAGCTTTCTCCGGGAACCCTTCCCAGTTTTCAGTTCTTGATCTCACCTTCTCCAATCACAGGAACGGTAGAATTGAATTGCAAGCCCTTAAATCCAAAATAACCAACAGCAACCACTTCCCAATCGTCATAACAGTCGAAAGTTTAGACTACAGTTTCAAGAAAAGAAAGTGCTGCACAATAGAATAAATTGTATTCTTGGAGCAAGCAGCTTTACTAATCTGCAAGAGCACAACGATAAGGTCAAATCCCTGACCAGGAAGAACACAGTTACCATTCCCAGTAACAACAAGTATATTGCCAAAAAATTGTGGAACGAGGGTATAGAGAGACTATTTCGCGTGAGAAATGCGTGCAGGCAAATATACTATTACACTAAAAAATTTGAGGACGCCAGACGCAACCTGCAAAATGAGATTACAAATTTCAGAAGGTCAAACTTCTCAAAGTTCATAGAAGAGGTTTCCTATTCGCCCTCCATGTGGAGCAGAGTAAAGAACCTATCGAAATACGGACAAGTCAAAAACGTAGGGAACACATGGACAGACGAAAATGACAAGGGCTTTCTAAGAATGGTCAAATACATCACCTCCACTGCAAACAGTAGACCCCCAGAGAATACTCCACCTCTGATTGGCCCAGGTGACCCTGAACCTTTGGACATGGGGGAATTTCTGTCCTTCCTGAAATCCAGGAACCCAAATTCGGCGAGAGGCCCAGATGGCATTTCGTTCAGGATGCTGCAGCAACTTCCTGTGGCGAAAAAGCATAACATCTTTGAAATTATAAACAGGGTATGGCTCAGTGGCGTCATCCTAGAATTCTGGCGTAGAATTAAGGTGGTACCAATTCCCAAGAAAAAGGCGGACCCCGCTTCCTTCCAAACTACAGACATATTTACCTAATAGACACCTTCTTTAAGTCTATAGAGGGGTTGATAAAGTTTCCGGTCAGATCCAACGCCTTCAGGAGGAACAGGTCCACGGCGCTCTGCATCAACGACCTGATCCACGAGGTCCTGGCTCAGAAGGCGAGAGGGAATCAGGCCGTAGCGGACTGTCTTGACCTACAAAGGGCATGTGACTGCGTAAGAGTGGACACGCTAGAGCAGAAGATGAATGTCATGCAGTTCGAGCCGAATCACACTGCCTGGATTGCCAGCTTCCCAAGCAGTCGTCTACTCATCAAGGCAAGATTGAGGTTCAGATGAACAGGGGAGTTAGTCAGGGCAGCTGTCTCAGTCCAACTTTGTTCAGCTTGTACACCGCAGAACTGCACGAGATAGACGATGGCAACTTTTTACTATTTCAGTGCGCGGACGATTTCTTTATTATTTGCTTCCATAAAGAGATTTCCATTGCTAAACGTGTGCTCTTAGGCAAAATAGACAGCTTTGAGGCAAGATGCAACAGGCTTAACCTAGCTTTCAACCCAGACAAATCCTAAGTGATTCACTTCAGCATTCGAAGAACCGAGCTGAACATTGAGCACCAAGGAATCGAGATTAGGCAAGTAGATCAGATCAAAAACCTAGGCAGAAAAATTTCAGAGAACAACTCAGTCTCAGCGCACGTCGTGCAGGCCATTTCGGAGTCAAACAGAAACTGTGCCTAAGACTACTCAGTGGGTGCCATTACGGTATCAGCCCAAAGAGAGGGCTCATAGTTTACAAGGCCTTTCTCAGAAGTACTCTAGAATTCGCTTGCTCGTCTTTCAGCAACTTGTCCAAATACAAATCGAGAGTTCGTTGATATTCTGGAGAGAATTGAGGTCTTTGATTTTGAATTAGGGCAGACTTCGACTTTTTTAAGACCAGGCGGGCATATTAGTCCTTATAGGGAAAAAAGGGCACTCCTGACAAGGGGAGGCTTCGAGACCTACTTCACTGATGGCTCAGTAGCAAACAGACACTCTAGCGCAGCTTTCCTACACGACAGCTCAGGATCATCAGCTCATCGGGGCTCTAATACTGGTAAGGAGCATTCAGGGTAATTTTATCGCTTGTAAAATCAGGGAAAATATCAACCGTCAAGCCCAATACTTAAAGAAGGTAGAAATCCATTTCATACCCGGACATGCCAACATCCCTCAGAACACGGCAGTAGACACAGCAGCCAAAGAAGCACACAGACTCTGGGAAAATACACAGTCGTTAAATGGAATCTTAAAGATGCCATATGTAAGAACCCCGAATACTAAACGAATAGGAGAGAGAGTATGCCGAGTTTGCCAGCGTTAAATGCAGAGGATACTGATCACTTTTTCGCTCTACCTCAACAAAACAATGGTTCCTTAATAGAAATAAGCTAAAAGGATCAATACTATTGAATTTCAATAGACTTCTTAGGCAGTGCATTTTATAGGCACAAAATGCATGTAGTCGCAAGTAACATTTGTGATACTTGCGATACTATCGGTAACGCATCGCATATAATTTTTAATTGTACCAAGTACAACACAACAAAACAAAACCCATCACTAAGGAAATATAATAATATATATCAATTATTCAAAAAGGAACAAATTAGCACGTACCAAGCATTAATCGAGTTAATCGACAAAATTGCAATAAAACTGTAACAAGTTACATTTCTCGACGAGGCGATTTCCTCCTTGTAAAGGCGGGCGGGTAGAGCGGTAACATAAAACCTCAAAATACAAAATAATAATATATAAATAATTATAAAGTTGGTACCTCGTTTTTTTGTTTCTGGTCTCTCAAACCTACCAGATGGTAGATAGTCAAAGATATGCATTGTTTAATGTCTCAACATTTACGGGAATGCCCTTTTTCAAACGTAAATAGTTGGTAATAGTTGATATTTGTTTCTACAAAACTATCGTGTGTTTAATTATATTCCATCCTCAACTGCCTAAAAGCGGTTTCTATTGTTGCCATTAAATTCCATAAATATTGTAAAAGTATGGGGAAAGTTGAAGGTAAAGTAAATATGTTATATGTATATAAATATGTATTATATTATATTATTATTATAACTGTAAATACTCTAAGATCGACGCTCAAAACGGGCAAAACGCCAAAAGCCAGCAAGATTTGCCTCGCCTACAGAGTCATCTTTAGCAAGTCCTGCAACCAACATAGAGCCAACTCCCACCCCTTGTCAAGACACTCTTAAATCTTTGCCACTGTTGGAAAATTCTGCAAAAAGAGAAGCCCAGACTCGCAATGTAAATATCCAATTTGTAAACATACGCACAAGACCGGCGAGCACAAGAAAACCAGCGCAGGCCTCAACGTCGCCCAGCAATGCAATGAAAAAGATTAAACGTCGACGAAACAGCGATACTTCTAGCGATGAAGAACGTTGGCTGAATGCCATTGAAACTGGGAAGCTAGACGATGTCGACGAAGAGTTAAAAAAGATTAAAGACCCAAAATTAATGACGGCTCGTCAACGAGCTATGTATGAACGGACACAAGATTCGGATACTAATATGATTGGATTTGTTGAAGAACTAATTGCACTTCCCAGTGGATATAAGGAAAAGGAAAAACCTCAGACAGCGGAAGAAATCGAAAAAGCAGCTCTAAAGTCGCAAAAACGTAAGCAACAGGCGGACGAGCGTCGCGAAAAAGATAAACAAAAAACAATGGATCGCTTGCTGAAAAAACAGGAGAGCAGTAAACAACGTTCAGGCGCTCGTAGCAAACAAGCACAAAAGCCTTCACACCCAAAGCTTACCTATATGAATACTATTGAAGGTGCCTACATCTTGTTACCTCCAGGTCATGAGTTTCCGATGGAAGCGAAAGTGTCACGGCCTTCACCACCAGCTCACTTTTGTTACATTAGTGACTGCGGAAATCGTAAGGCGTACTCGTGCTCCAAAACCAATGTTCCCCTATGCAGTCTAGTTTGTTACCGTAAGCACATAACAGCCACAATATTGCAACAAAATAATCCTAACCGTATAGTTTAAATGTTTTCATGCGCTTGTTTTTATTGATTTAATAAAAAAATATTTATAATTTCTTGTTGCTCAGTTTCAGTACGTTGCAAGTATTGGTATTCGCGCTTCAACCGCTCTAATTTGACTGTCTGCTCCATAATCTTGCTCTGACAGACTTGTTGCTCAGCTTGACGATGCTGCGACATTGTTTTAAGTTGGTTTTGTGTCCCAATTGCACGCAGCTTTTCCACCTCGACATCTTTGGCAAATGTTTTTGATATTTTATAGAAGTCATGGATCAAACTCTTGAAATGTTGAAGATTTCTTGAATACTCCAGACACTCATGTCTCAGCTCTATTTTTTGAGTGGCAATACTGGGATCCTGAACTCGCAGCCTGTAGATATCGTCTATAAACAATCCAAATTTTTTCAATTCCTCCATTTCGACTCTAATATGATATACATATTTACAAAAACAATTGATTTTATCTTAGGTATACCACAACATTTTCTGTTTTGGCAAGCCTTCGTTGTCATTGACAACGAACAATGATACAATTTTAGTTTTAGTCGTTGCCAAGGGATACACGAATTGAGTTGTACCAAAGACAATATACATAAAAGCAAGATAATTAATGCCAAACGATTTTTTTTGCACACGAATTTTCGCCTGGCTCTAGGCCCTTGAAATTTTATGCGGAATCCAGAGAGATCAAGTTCTAGTGTTAGCCTCTCTCATAATTTCAGCGGCAATCTACAAATATTTTAGATCTGCTTTCATGCATAGGTTTTTTTTACAGTGTAGACCTTTTGGAAGCCGGTTTCCCCCAATACTAAAAACACCTCATTAAGTATATTCTTTCTATGAATGCTATTTGTTTAAATTATAGCATATATGTAGCCGATATAAATATATTAAGTATTAATATAAGGAAAATATTTCATAATAAATGCATTATTCAACGTGCGTCATGTCAATACTCTTATTTTGTTGAAGCCCGTAGTAGTTCTGGGTCATTAATGAAAGAACGAACAACAAAAAAAACTATTCACTCAATTGAAAGAACCGAATAAGTTCATCTCAATCGTTCTTTTTTGTTCGTACCAAAATGAACTAACAAAAAAGAACAATTAACTAATAGAACACATTAAAAGATCTAAAAGAACGATTTAGTTCCCTGAATTAAAATGAACGAACGAACTTGTTCAGTCAAATAAACGATGTTTACCCAACACTCGAGATAATTTTAATTTGGGGGTCTATAGATACATATGGCCATTCTCTACAATATTGAGTTTTTAGTTTTTTCTTATCTTAAAAATTGTGGGTATAGTAGATTTTCGCACTTTGTGGAAGGGGAGGGGCAAAATTTTGAAATACACTGTTATTGTGATATCACAGTAAGTCTGGAGAAAATTTTCGTTGGCTCTAGATCTTATATTGTCTAAGAACTAGCCGACAAACAAGACGGACAGACAGACATGGCTATATCGACTCGGCTATTGATACTGCAAATAAAGCAAAGCCCTACTTGATAAAAAAAAAAAACAAATTTAAATCGTGATTACACTTGATACACAAAACGACCTCATCGAATATTAAATTTGTTCTACATCTGTCATCAATATCTACATCAGATGGACAGACAGAGAGACAGATAAGACTCGACTATTGATGCTGATCAAGAATATACCTTGTGGGGTCGGAAACGCTTCCGTCTGTGTGTTACATTTTTCCACCACAAATAAAATGTTACCCTACTCACTCTTCGAGTACCGGGTATAATAAGGACTTGTATTTTCATGCACACAGCTTAAACAAAATATACTGACGTTTTATTGGGTATAAAAGTATTACAGACCTCCAATAAAAATTTTTGTACACTGAACTCGATTAGTAACGAGAAGGGAAGTGTGAGACGCTTCTTACGCATCACAGCTCTTATACCCGGTACCACTAAGCAAACAACTCATGGAGGCGTCAAACTGACTTAAAACTGGCTGCATAAAGAGTGTAGGGGATTGGCTCCGAGTGTATTCGGCTCTAGGTGCCAATGCCGGCTGAGAGTTTTTGGTGTTTGGCTCTCTTGAGCATTGAAAACAAAACGACTCGCCAAAAAAAAGTTTTCTTTTTTTTTCGAAGAAAGCCAAGTCAATTGTCGGTATTTATTTTTTGTATACATATTTAGATGTTTATAACCGTTTATCCCTTTTGTCCTAACTGTATTTAAGAAATATATGAGCATAGAGAGGATACACAAAATCTATTTATTTTTTTGGGGCAAGCTTCTTCATAAAGTCTCAAGTTTGAAGGAAGGCTATGTGAGCTCAGGAGCAACACAAAAATGCCAAACGTCTCAGGCGCTAAAAATGAAAACGCACGCATTGCCATCATGTACATATGTATGTGTCACCGCAAACATGAAATTACGAATCAGACTTGAAAAGAAAAAACAAACTTTATCAGCCGAAGGCATTGGCAGCAAGAGCCGGAGGCACTGGGAGCCAATCCCTTATACTCATTATGCAGCAGTTTGACGACTCTATGAGTTTTTTGCTTAGTGGTAATATATGTAATATGTAATATATGGAATGTGTCTTCGGAAAAAAGTTCAAAGACTTAAACAAGGAAAAGAAATCGATGGTCATCCAGGCATTTTCCAGGCATCCAAATAAGACACAGAAGCAAACGTTTCCGATCCCATAAAGTGTATATATTCTTGATCAGCATCAATAGCCGAGTCGATAGAGCCATGTCTGTAAGTCCGTCCGGCCGTCCGTCAGATATCATAAGAGACAAAGCAATCAAGTGTTTGCATCCAAACGTCTGTATGCTCAAACTGTTACAAGTGAGTGTATTTCAAAAATGAAAACCACCAACTTGCACACCCCCAAAGGGCGAAAATCTCCAACAGCCACACTGAATCAGCATATGATCCTTTTTTTAAGGGCCAAGCTCTCTTTGATGGTATTTACAAGTCCAGCGACGGGCTAAAACGTTTGGATATATTTTAGCCAACATAGCCTAAAAGCACTAAGCAAACACCATATAGAGGGTTCAAATTACTGAAAAACCTGCTGCCTAATCATTATAGTGGATTGGCTCCCAGTGCCTTCGGCTCTGGGTGAGAGAGCCTTCGGCTGAGAGAGTTTGGCGTTGGCTCTCTTGAGCATTGAACGCAAAGCGACTCTCGCAAAAAAAAAAGTTTTGTTTTTTGTCTTTTCAAGTCTGATTCGTAACTTCATGTGTGCGGTGACACATACATACATGATGGCAGTGCGTGTATCTATTCTCGACTTCATATGCGTTTTCATTTTTAGCGCCTGAGACGTTTTTGTGTTGCTTCTGAGCTCACATACCCTTCCTTCAAACTTGAGACTTTATGAAGCAGCTGTCCCCAAAACAAAAAAAAACCTTAATGTTATGTATCCTCTCTATGTTCATATATTTCTTAAATACAGTTAGAAGGAAAGGGATAAACGGTTATAAACATCTAAATACATATGTATACAAATAATTGATAACGGCAATTGACTTGACCTCTCTGCTCGAGGGAAATATAATACGACGCATCCAGCTTGGAATATATGTATAGTAACATATACATATTGCCCTACACCCACATACGCATTAAGTATACGTTAAGCACTTGACATATTCATAACCACACCCACACCTATACACGTTATGCATATGCCCAGCACTCACCCTTACACCCATGTATTCGCATCTAAATGAAATAAGATAAACATATAAGAAGATACCCCAACACCTGAATAAACAACGCATGATTCTCTGAGAGATTCCATCAGCCCTGACTTGTTGAGCCGCGTAAACTTTACGATTCCCATTAGGCCCACTAGAAACTATATTCCTTTGTTCCTTCCACTGTGCAGATCGAATTATGCCTTGCACGAACCCTTTAGGGTCTTATGCTCGGATTATAATTCCCTCTATCACATTATATCCTCGACTAACTCCCTTCCTCTTCTTAAATCTCTTATACTAGCCTACCCCTCCCGTATTTAGTTTCATATTAGCTTTGTCTTGTTTCTGACTTTGATAGTTTTGCTTGCTTAGCTATACTTGCTCTAGTTTAGTTGTGTTTAGTTCTAATTTTCTTCGAATATTACCCTAACATCTATCTTTCCTGCATGCTCGCGACCGGTTCGAATGCACTCTCTGGAATGCAATAAAACGTCGCTGACCAATACGCTATCAGCTGATTCCCACACTCCACACTATGACTAATTCAGAATCAGTCCCACACTCCAAGAGAAGGGAGAACTCTTGTAAAAAAGTGAGTTCTCAAGATGAAAGCTGACACCAATCACCAGCTGCGGCTGCCTGTTTCATCCAAGCCGACGCATCTCCCAAGCCTCCCACACTTAGGCCAACGCATCGCCTATCAGCCGCTCTCACCAAACAACGCCTCTCGCAACTGAAGCTCCGCCTTTTTCAGCCGAAGCCATCATCACTCACTCCCCAAGAAGACGAATATCAGCCGAAGCCGAAAGCTTAAGAAGATAAGCTTTAAGCACTAACCAAATAGTATAGTATATACTATATATACTATATATATACTATACTATACTATTACTATATACTATTTACTATATTTATATAGTATAGTATAGTATATACTATTTGGTTAGTGCTTTAAGCTTCCCAACAGAGGTCCCGAGATCAATAACTCGAGAACAAGAAGACAGTTCCGTTTGAAACTTTCTTACATTCAGTTGGGGAATTATCATCATATCCTATGTTCTATTATATAAGTTCGGTTGAATAAAATATCTTTTTAAAAACCTACTTTTGAACTCGGTAATTCTTATTGTATGTATGTATATATGTACATATGTACAGTTGCGGCGAAAATAATAGCACCGCGTGGTACAACAGTTATTATTGTTTAAAAAATGTGTTCCACTCAACATTTTTTGCACTTTGCAGTAATATAAAGTAGGTTGAGATGTCTCCTATCTAAGAGAAGTGTCCTTACTCTTACAATTTTGGAGGCTCTCAAATATTTAGGCAATTCTTCAAAAATGAAGCGAAATTAAACGACAACAAAAATAGCACCAAAAGTTTTTTTTATATCAACTTTTATTTTTAATTTTTGATATATTATGATTTTAATTGATAGTCGATGGCTTACGTCGTTTGTTAACAAAATATTAGTTGTTATGACGTCGAAAAGGGAAGTCTTAGGGAAGAAAAAAGCCAAAGGATTTAAGCTGTAACTCCCAAAGAAGAAAGCTATCCTTATGTGAGGTAAATAGTATGTTCATCATCGTAAATGATTCGTAATGCTTTAAAACATATTACCAACAAAAAAATCGTGAAAGAATTGGCGCAATATCCACTTTTCGGTGGAAAATTCTGGTTTCTGAGAGCAAGAGAGGTCCTTTTAAGACGACCACAGAGCTTAAAATGAATCTTAAAAAATTTTCAAAGGTAAGGAAAGCTATATTTAGCTTAAAAGAATATAAATTAAGTTTTTGAAGTCGGAGAAAAGTTCCAGTTTCGCAAAGAACCCATGGGCAAAGTGAATACAAGGTAGAAAAAACACTGGAGTTGGCCCAAATAAATATGGATATAGATCCTGTAAACCAGACGGAAATAATTTTTTTTATTGCAAAAACTTTAGATCTTATGTAAAACGACTACCAAATAAAACGAGAAGGGACGTGTGAGACGCTTCTTATGCGTCACAACTTTTATACCCGGCACTCAGTACTACATCTGCACCTTAGCGGTGTTTTGTCAAATATTACATTTTTTCTTCATCTGTCATCTACATCTACAACACTTCTCACACCAACACGCTCCTTTAGCTCTCCCCCCTTCCCTAGACCCACACACTGCAGACTCGCGGCAGAGGCCGAAGCAGAGTATGAATGAGAGAATGTGAAAAAAACATCAAAAGCTGCGGGACGGGGTGGGTTTTGCCGCTGCAAATAAATTTCTTCATTGTGGCTATAATAATGATCCAATCGGATACCAATTTGGGATCTAGATAGATATGGTCAGTTCCGGAATGGCGTTTTTAGTTTTCTTTTATCTTCAAAATTGTAGATTTTGGAGGTTTTTGCCCTTTTGCGGGGGCGGAAGGGGTCGTGGCTCATTTTTGAAATACACTTGTAACAGCGTGAGCATACAGAAGTCTGGTTGCAAAATTTGGTGGCTCTAGCTCTTATAGTCTCTGAGTACTAGGCGCGCATTAGGACGGACAGACGGACGGGCAGACATACATGGCTCAATCGACTCGGCGATTGGTGCTGATCAAGAATATATATACTTTATGGGGTCGGAAACGTTTCCTTCTGTGCGTTACATACAACCGTTATTCCCCACAAATACAATATACCCTATTTACTCTTCGAGTACCGGGTATAAAAACAAAATTTTGTTTTTGCGAGTCGCTTTGCGTTCAATGCTCAAGAGAGCCAAACACCAAACTCTCTCCCCTATAATCGTTATGCAGCCAGTTTTGAGTCAGTTTGACGCCTCTATGTGTTGTTTGCTTAGTGCTAAAAGCCTGCTGACCACTTTTAAGCGCCAGACATATTACTAAGCATATGATGTTAGCAAGAGAGCATGCCAATTGGACATCCCTATAATGGAGGAAAATTTTAATGTCAGATGAGTAAAAAGTGTTTTATTTACTGAAAAGGGATCTCGATCATACTTAAGACGTCCAAGGAACACCAGTACACCAAAGAAAACCATTAAAAATAAACGGTTTAATTTCATGGTATGGGCCTGATTCTTTTACTATGGAGTAGGTTCAATATATTGAATAAAAACTATCAAGGATCAGCACGTGTGCGTGGATATCATGGAGACTGTTATGCTACCGTTTGCAAAATATGAAATGCCACTAGTATGGGTATTTTAACCGGTAAATAATCCAAGCATGAAAGCAAATGAACGGTTTGGGGCCAACACTGAACGTATTAGTGTGGCCTGCACAGACGCCTGACATGAAACCCATCGAAAATCTATGGTCCGACTTCCAGAAGGTAGTTGCTGCTTCCAAGCCAACCACTGTCGGATCACTTTGAGAACAAATTTAAGAGTCCTGGTCCAAGGCTCCCCAAAAGCTATGCAGCTGTTATTGACAAACTAGAACACTGAACTAAATGCTAAATATATATTTAGAATTAATAGTTAACAACTAAGAAATTAGTAACGTGTTGGTCATTTTTTAAATTTTAAATCCATTTTTCAAAAGTGGTGGTATTATTTGTTTCGCCTAATTTTACAAGTTTCCCTAACGTTTCTTAAATAACTTAAAAACCTAAGTAAAAATAAGATTTTTGAGTTATTCCCCAGATTTGTAGGAGTCTTCTCTTTCTAAAAATGTGCTTTAAAGTGTCCTTTAAGTCAAATACGTGAGTTGTGCAACTATTTGAAAATTGCTTGTGCTGGTGGTGCTATTATTTTATTCACAGCTGAATGTGTATTTATGTACATATGTATGATGCATACATATTTAGTTATGCTCTATTAAGCCATATCTAAAAGGATATTGACTCTCATTTTAATATTATGTTTTCATAAACAGTTTCAAATGTGGTTTTTATTAAAAAATATATTAATTCCCAACACGGCCGATCTCTTTATAGATATACATACACGTATTGGGGATAGAAGTCAGAAATAAGATTTGAACTGGTAGCTATGCAAAGCAATACAAAGCTAAAATAAATGAAAACCTATGCATGTCATGTAGGGTTGTTCCGCTTGTTGGATCGCAATCGCGCAAGTCCAGTCCGCTCTTCCTCCTCGTCGCTTGTATACTGATGCATGCTAGTCCCGCTGACACCACCCACGCGTACAGATGACGTGGCCTGCATTAAATCTTGGTCGGGAGCGTTTCGATTCTCGTATAGCAACACTTGTAGTGTTTCTTCGTAAATACGTGCCTCAGGAAATTCCACTTTAGTATGTTTTCGATCAGTTGCATAAACTATAGAGGTACAACACACTTCGGCAACCTTTTTCCCGTGCCCGTAAAAGGACCAGCAACATATTTCACTTGGACCTATAACATCTTTGATGAACAATATACGTTCGTTGAAACGCAAGGAGAGCTTGTCAAAAAGTTCAATATTTTTTAATAAATTATCATCGGATGTGCTTGTGTATGAATACTTGTTGTTTTGTCGCTGCACCACTAATATTACAGCTGGTTTTGAAGACGCGCTAATGAGAAGTTGCTCCTCTTTTTGTGAAGTTATCAATGGAATGCGGCAAATAGGTTTTGGCTCAATATGTGCATGTAGTGCCCGTTCACATGACATGGCAAGCTCGGTAATGCAGTAGTATTTTGATTCTGCATGTAGCTCAGCTATTTCTTTGTTAGTTTCGGGTAATGGGACACTGCCATCGCGCAAAAAGTTGAGTATGATTCCGAAGTGATTTCCACAGCGATCTATTAATATCCAACCTGAAATTTTTCATATATTACTGAATGATTTCAGTGCATGCACATTAAATACCTTCCGAATCAGTTAACACCTCCATGCGACCACTAAACATAGCGCTTAGCATTGTATCATTATGTTTTGTCAGTGTTCCAATTGTAGTATAATACAAGCGACCCCCAACATTTAGCTTCACATACTGAGATGAATGACCTTTTAACAACACTTTTTGATCACCGGACATGACTTCAGACTGCTTGTCATGCAGCACAAGTTGGTGGCAACTTCCCACAGGCTCCAAAATCACTTTGTCTTGTAAAGCAGGTCCTAGGAGGTCTTCAATACAGCCAGCTATTTCTTTTGCACCTATGACGCCAACGCCCTTTTGTTTGGTGCTTTTGCAAACGCTATCTCTTGCGTTGCTTACGCCCGCACAATCCTCAGTCGCTAAGGGATCAATTTTGACGAATGTATTATCAACGACGAAAAAATTAAGTCAAATTATGTTACAGCAGTTTGCCAAACTAAATTATGTATACATCTAAAAACGGACAGTAAACAAAATTATATATCGATATCAATATTGATTCCGATACTTTCCATCCGTTCTTTCATCTAAAGCCTAGTACTCAGATCGAAACAAAAAGGGGCCGCTAAAAAAATCAGGGATGATATTCGTATGGAACCGATAAGACATTTTTGTGCGCACAAGTTACTTTCTAGCGACTTTGCACCAGGCAGTACTCAGATCGACAAAAAACAGGCCGAACAAATCTAGAATGTCAGACGATAGTATTTTCTGGTATCGATAGTATTTGTGTGGTATTGGTAGTATTTGTTTGGTATTCGTTAGTATGTTGCTAGAACAATTTTTGTTCGTTCGGCAAACAACTTTTTTTTGAATTCAACATTTTTAGTAAAATTTGTACCTGGTCAATGCGGACTCATCGTCTGCGACCAACCAATTTCGCTTTAGCGATTAAATTAAAAAATAAAGGATGTTGCTAGAAGCTCGAAAAATAAAGATCTGTTTTAATTTTCAAGAGGGTTCCTAACAAACAGAGAGTATAATCTCAATCAAATGGAGGCAACAATGGAAGTTGAAAAATAATTGACCACCGTGCTTCTAAACAAGCTTCAGGCCATCAAACGGCAAAAACGGAAACAATTATTATAGATTAATGAGATTATGAGAAAATGCACGGTATCGTTTCATGGGTTTCCATAAATGTACATATATTTATATGAGTTATAATACTCAAATGTATAGACCTCCTCCGATCATGCAAGAGCCGACAATCCTACTAAAAGCAATCTTCTGCATGGATCAATTAGCTTCATATTGGCAAGACACAGACATGGCTGGGCTGTTAACCAAATGTTTGAAGTTGCTTTCCTTTTGGGACCAAGTACTGCTCCACAGGGTCGAGCAGCACAGGTGACAACAAAGCTGCCAGAGAAGTTTAACTGTAAGGAAGGGCACACTCTGCGGCTAGCAATATATATTTCACTGTTTGATAGTAAACGTGTCTTCGGATCTGAGTATTTGAGGCTAAAAGCCTAGTACTCAGATCGAAAAACAGGGCCGCTAGAAAAATCAGGGATGATATTCGAATGGAACCGATAAGAAATGTTGTCGCGCACAAACTACTTTCTAGCGGCTGTACGAAAGGAAGTACTCAGATCGAAAAAATGACCAATCGACATATATAGATCTGTTTTATATTCCGAGAGGGTACCTAGCAAACAGACAGTAAAGTCTCAATAAAATGGAGCCAACAATGCCGTTGAAGTTGAAAGATAAATGACCACCGTGCTTCTCAACGAGCAAGCTGTCTCAAGTTTGAAGGAAGGATATGTGAGCTCTGAAGCAACACAAAAGATCCAAACGTCTCAAGCGCTCAAACTGAAAACGCATAAGAAGTCGAGAATAGATACACGCATTGCCATCATGTACATATGTTTGTGTCACCGCACACATGATTTTACGAATCAGACTTGAAAAGAAAATAGAAAAATTTGTATTATGCTTTTTATTTTTTTCCGACTTTTTACGCGTTTTCAACTTTCAACCAATGAAAAATTCAAAATTGGTTCCGGCTCTCACGAAAAAATGTCTCTTTTCTGCTGCTTTCTTGCATGCGTGTATGCGTGAATGGGAAGACGGCGGTGCAAGAAACGTTATTTCTGAAAACGACGCGGATAATAAAAAGTTTAAAAAAGCATAGTAATCTAAATAGAAGATTTTTTTTATCTCAGCAAAATGACGTGTTTAAACGAGTTAATTCCGAAAAGCCTACGAGGAGCAACGAAATCCAGCATTTGTGCATTACACAAATTTGTATATGAGAGAGAAGGAGACAGAGGTAGCCGAGGCCGGCTGCGCGAATTTAGTGGATTCGAATACGACGAAAACGACGCCAGATTTTTAGCGAAGCGCAAATACATACAAGCGGAGCTGACGGACCGTGATCTTGTTTCAGTATGTGTGATATTGAGCATAAATCACAATGCAGAAAATATGATGCTACACATATTTCGCAATCGGATGAAGACGCAAACGATGAAGACGAAAACGAAGATCAAGAGAACGACGTGTTTCGCAGTGTTTGCGAGATACGCACGAGTGAGGGAGACAACTATAGTAACATGCACACAAGACGACAAGAAAATAGACGCCGAAGCAACGTACAAAGGGAAAACTACGATGAGCAGGTCGCACCCCGATTTGCTATAAGTTTTCGCGATATTGAAGAGTCTATCCGAATGTTTGACGGCTCTGACCAGATAGCTGTCGAAGAATGGATAGCAGAGTTTGAAGAGCAGGCTGCGTTCATGCGTTGGACAGAAACTTATTTTTGCGAAGAAGTCTTTGAAAGGCATTGCCAAATTATTTGTTTTAAGCGAAAAAAATTTGAACTCATGGGAAACATTGAAGTTTGCGCTGTTGAATGAGTTTCAGTCGAAGGTAAATAGCAAACAGATACACATGCAACTCAACGAGAGTAAACGACGACCGAAAGAGACTGTTCTGGAATATTTTTATCGCATGAGAGGTATTGCTGCAAGAGGAAATGTTTAAGACGACGCACTTATGCAATACGTGATTAACGGTGTCGACGAGATGGCATTAAATAAATCTATTTTATATGGTGCGAAAAAGATGTCTGATTTTAAGGACAAATTAAAAGATTATGAGAAAATAAACGAGAAAATAAAAAAGAGTGAGAAGACGGGAAGAGATAAGAAGATGAGGTTGGACAAAATTATACCCAGACTGGCAAAAAAGACGTCGTGTGTTACAACTGCGGAGAGAAGGGTCATGTATCTAGCAGTTGCTCGAGCAAAGAGAAGGGGAAAAAGTGCTTCAAGTGCAATCAGTTTGGGCACATTTCAAAGAATTGCAAGGAGAAAAGTGAGAAGGCAAACGAAGAAAAACAAAACTTGCGTGTAATTTTGAATAGAGCGGAATTGACATCCAAAGAAGTTTCGATTAAAAATATGAAATGTATGGCACTATTTGACACTGGCAGTAAATTCAATATTTTGCGCGAAGACTTTTACGACGAACTGTGTATGCCAAAATTAAAGAACTGCAGAGTGCGCTTGGTCGGTTTCGGAAGTGAAAGCAAGGCTGACAATATCAAGCCGATTGGTCAAGTAGAACATAGCATACGTATTGACGACGAAGAATATGTTTTGACATTTTATGTTGTTGCTGCTAAGTTCATGGATATTAAGCTGATAATCGGGGAAGAGCTTTGTTTGCACGCAGAAGTATCATTTAATCGCCATGGAGTAAAAGTTAATAAAATGCCAAATGAAAATAACGAAGATGCGTATGACGAAGCGTCCATAATGAAAATCGACGTAGCGGTGGACAATTCTGAACTGAATATAAACGAAGCGATAAACGAGATTACACGAAAAGAAGTTCGCGAAATAGTAACGACGTATAAACCGGAAAAATCAAAAACAACAAACATTGAAATGAAAATAATTCTTAAAGACGAAACGCCAATTTTCTCGCGGCCGCGGCGGTTTGCTATGACTGAAACACGTATCATAGAAGACCAGGTTGATGAATGGCTGCAGAATGAGGTAATTGAAGAATCAGAATCCGAGTTCACGAGTCCGGTTGTACTAGTAAAAAAGAATGACGGCAAGCAACGTCTATGTATTGACTTCAGACGCATCAATAAAGTCATCGAAAAAGATCATTTCCCATTGCCGTTGATAGATGACNAAGAATTGCAAGGAGAAAAGTGAGAAGGCAAACGAAGAAAAACAAAACTTGCGTGTAATTTTGAATAGAGCGGAATTGACATCCAAAGAAGTTTCGATTAAAAATATGAAATGTATGGCACTATTTGACACTGGCAGTAAATTCAATATTTTGCGCGAAGACTTTTATGACGAACGGTGTATGCCAAAATTAAAGAACTGCAGAGTGCGCTTCGTCGGTTTCGGAAGTGAAAGCAAGGCTGACAATATCAAGCCGATTGGTCAAGTAGAACATAGCATACGTATTGACGACGAAGAATATGTTTTGACATTTTATGTTGTTGCTGCTAAGTTCATGGATATTAAGTTGATAATCGGGGAAGAGCTTTGTTTGCACGCAGAAGTATCATTTAATCGCCATGGAGTAAAACTTATTAAAATGCCAAATGAAAATAACGAAGATGCATATGACGAAGCGTCCATAATGAAAATCGACGTAGCGGTGGACAATTCTGAACTGAATATAAACGAAGCGATAAACGAGATTACACGAAAAGAAGTTCGCGAAATAGTAACGACGTATAAACCGGAAAAATCAAAAACAACAAACATTGAAATGAAAATAATTCTTAAAGACGAAATGCTCGACGTGGTGATTTCCACCTTGTAAAGGCGGGCGGCCAAAAAATCCCCCTCTACCCAAGGATAGAGCGGTAACATAAAACCTCAAAAAGACGAAACGCCAATTTTCTCGCGGCCGCGGAGGTTTGCTATGACTGAAACACGTATCATAGAAGACCAGGTTGATGAATGGCTGCAGAATGAGGTAATTGAAGAATCAGAATCCGAGGTCACGAGTCCGGTTGTACTAGTAAAAAAGAATGACGGCAAGCAACTTATTTATTCAATCACTTATTAACCTTTACTTATAAACAATAAACATAAACCCCCACATATATGTTAGACAAGATGGCCTAATTTGGCCTGCTGCCCAAAAAACTATTACTGGGCACATTATGTTTGCAAGGGAGCATGCCAATTGGACATCCCTATCATGGAGGAAAATTTCAATGTCAGATGAGTAAAAAGTATTTTATTTACTGATATTTAAGACGTCCAGTACACCAATCAAATCAATCAGAAACCCAATCAAAATAAAAGGTTTAATTTCATGATATGGGCCTTCTTCTCTTACTATGGAGTAGGTTCAATATATTGAATAAAAACCATAAAGGATCAGCACGTGTGCGTGGATATCATGGAGACTGTAATGCTACCGTTTGCAGAATATGAAATGTCACTAGAATGGGTCGT